TATGTATGTGTATGCATGTATGCATACATACACACACAAGCATATACATAAATGGGTTAACGGCTTCATGGGTTGGAGCAACCGGAGTGTTTCGAAACAAACCTTGATACGTGCAACGTACAGGTACACTACGGCACCCGTGGTACATAGGGCTCCCTATAGGTCTCCGTAAAGATATTGGCGAGTGTATATTCGAGACTTTGGCGTTTTCCATTTTCACTGCGGAAAAGCAGGTTGCCTAGCAGTTCAAACCTGCCTGCGTGCAAAGGGCTTGAGGGTGAAGCTTTTGAAGCCCTCTCTTCTGGACCCTTGGGGCACGCGCTAGCAAGAACCGCCCTGCAACGATAGAAGTAAGAGATGCAACGCTCTGCCTCAGTAAAGCAAGCACCTCAACACGTTTGTGATACATGTTGATGTTTACTTTCTGTTTGTGCGGTGCAAAATTAGCTCAAACCTTGCTGCCCCCCNNCACCCCCCCCCCCCCCCCGGCCCGTAGCGAGCATAGAGGGAGCAGGCTGTCTCAAATAGCTGAGAACCTGAAGCCTGAACATCAAGACTGCAAGACCCAAACCGTTAAGCTACGAATCCCGGTTATGCCGTGAGCCCCTCCAGACCCTCGGCCATGACCCGGGGTCCCATACATACCCAGCACAAATTAGCCCCAGGGAAGCCCCAGGCCTTCATTCTATCGAAGATGACGAAAATCGAGGAGAGCCAGGGGGCAGAACGCAAGTTCGGCTCCCTCCAGTTTGCCGTGTCTTGACTTATGTATCTGTATCAGTAGTAATGTGTATATATATATACTTTGACATACATACATATATATATATATACATACATAGGGGCGAGCGCGAGAGACATAGAGAGAATAATGGATAGATACATGTTGTAGGCGCTATAGGGCCAAACTTGTCCCTCTAGAGTGGAAAGAACGTATACTATAGTGCTACAAGGCTTTGAGACTGACACTATAAGTGGCTAAGGGAACCTATGCGAGGCTTTCAAGTAGTGCCGTTTCTCCTTGTATCCTTATAACTGAATCTGAATGGCATGAACAGGGCCTCCTTCTTAGGGACCAAACTAGATAAGGTCGCGGATTGCACTGGTTTCGGACTTTGGCTGTAGAAGGTCGTGGATTACGAGGTTGTAGGGCTTGAGGTCTATGTACGCGCACACGCATGTGCCTATAGAGTGAGTTAGCTATCTGCCTCTTTGTTCATTCAGTCTGACACTGCCAGAAGCAGCAATAAACCCAGGACCACCTCATGGGATCCAACCTCCTGCTGCAGCGGCCTTGCTTTCTTCGCTTCCTGGTCGCTCTCTTCTGCCTCGGACAGGCGCAAACGGCTGGCAAAAGTGAGCCCCTTTAAAGGTCTAGGGCCTAGTGTTCGGCTTCAGTACTTTAGGATTTAGTTCGATACAAAAAACACATGACTAGCGTTGCACCTGAAGTTTGCAAGTGAAGTGCAGCAGGCTTGGCATAAGGGCATGTGTGCTGCGGCTGCAGCTCACCCTCAGTCGGGCTCAGCAACTGCTGAAAACCCACGTCCTCCCAAAAAAAGTATGCCAGGATACTGTTATTACACTCTGAAGAAGCACAGGTCCTATTGATTCGGTCCTTTGGTTAGGGTTCGACCTTTCAGGGCTGCAGGCGAATTATAGTAATTATAGGCTATCTATATACATGATATAGGGGGCGTTTATAGGGCTGCGTATCCCGTGACTCTGAACCAGCAGACCACTAGAACACCCCGAAGCCTTGAACCCCTCGCGCACACCAGCCCATCCGCGTCGTTACCATCAGCCCTGGGAACGGCAACCTTCCAACAAAAATTTGAACTATACTGCTATTCAGGGTCGTAAGCACACTACGGAGGTTCTTATTGCAGATTTTCTGAGTAAAGCTGTAGATCGAACCACGGCGACGGGAAGGATCCGGAAAGAAGGATACCCCACCAACTTTGCAACAGCCTTCGTTTCAATGCCTGGCCGAGATCGGCGCCACGGTCGCCCTGAAAGTCGTGAGCAAGGGACAGCCCCAAGGCCTCTCCGTTGATGGTGCAGTGATTAGGGTTTTGGGTTTAGGGTTTAGAGTCTAGAGTTTAGCGTTGAGGGTTTAGGGTTGAGGGTTTAGGCCTTTCGTGTAGGATGTGGTCAAGAGTTGGAGGTCTCGGGTGACATTCAACCTTTCCTAGGACACACTGCATTGGATGGATGGGAGCATGGTATTTTGTTTGCTTTGCGGGCTTGTGGTCTCTGCGGTTTGAGTCGCCCCACCACCTGCAGACAAAACTGCGGAAGTTTCCCTCAGAGAACTCCGGTGGCCAAGCGATTCAGGAACTACCCAGAGGCTCCATAGTAGTTCCTTTTTGGGATTACCCTGTAGGATTCTAAATATAAACCACAAAAAGGAACTACTATGGAGGCAAGAGGCAGACCCGCAGACCTGCGAAAGCACGATTAATGTGCTTCCTGCATAAGCCTGAGAACGAAGCCGCAAGGCACAGGCCAACAGACGTTTGGAATGTCGGATGTACGGAACTCCTGGTGTCATTTCTTGACGTGGAGCTGTGGGTCAGGGTGCTTTACATGTCAAACCCCAAGTCACCATAGCCTGAGACATCTAGAGTTGAGCCGAATCGCTATGCAGATGTTGATTCGGGCCCCTCAATGATAGAGATCCAGTACAAAATCTCGATGGTTTGTCCGATGGTGAGAGACTGAGAGAGTACACCCTAGGAGATTTGGATTTTGTTCTTGCGAACCCTCGGGTTGTTATAGAGGTTATGTGACGTGTCTTTCAAGCTACACGTTTTATCAGTCAGGTCATGGATTCACCTTGGTCTCCTCCGTGCTTTATGCTTTGGCCGCCGCTGGCTTGTCGAACCTCCTCGGGCAGGCTAACAGCTCCGCTGACCTGGAGCAGCTTGTTGGAGATGAAGTCGTTGGTACAAACTTTTGGGTTTAGGGTTTGGGGTTTAGGGTTTAGGGAAGTGGAAAGCCTGTTGCCAAAGGGAAGTGGGAAGCCTGTTGCAAAAAGGGAAGGTTTTGATCATTACTTTGCTCTAACAATATTTGCGTGCTGCCTGACGCTGCTAGACCCTCCGTGGATGCAACGGCGAAGAGAGACGAACTCAATATGAAATAATGTTCCGTTATCTGATATGTATACATATATACATATGTCTATATATATATAGAGAGAGAGAGAGCGAGATATATATATATATATTATAGTTATATATTAAATATATTGAATTGTGCATGTTGGTGTTTTGCTTATAACGTAAAAGCCAAGGCACTACAGGATATGGCAGCGGGTGATATAATATGATATGTCATGACCTATTCTATTAAGTAGTTAAATTCTTTTCTTTTCTAATCTATTAGTTTCTGACTCTGTTCTATTCTAATTCTAATTTTAGTTTTATTTCGCTCTAGTTCCGTTATATATGTATATTCATATGTATATATATATATGATCTATTAGATTATACCTTCCTTTTTATGTATGTTTTACATGTATTTTATGTATGACCCCAGGCTGGCAATCAGCCGACTCCATTCTTTCGTTGCCGACTTCATGCTCTGCTGGAACGACGTGTCGGGCAAAGACTCCTGCGGGGTCTGGGATGTCGGGATTTTTGGATTACTATGGATTACCTTTGAGGTTTAGGGTTTAGGGGGTGATTTTTGGATTACTATGGATTACCTTTGAGGTTTAGGGTTTAGGGGGTGATTTTTGGATTACTGTGGATTACCTTTGAGGTTTAGGGTTTGAGGTTCAGGTTTTGAGGTTAGGGGGTTTGGGGGTGTGGGGCTTTGGATTGGCGCTTTAAGGCCCGGATTGTTTCGGCTTTCGGGTTCGCAACTTGTCATTGTGGATGCAGGAAGCTTTTGATCCAACCCTCTATACCCGAAGCCCTAAACATATATGATATGTATTACCTGCAGTCTCTGCAGAAAGTCGTGGTTGAAGACACCTGTTCAATGTATCCTGTCGGCCTGACATTGTGAGACCTCGTCTCGCATGTCCGAGTTGTCAGAGTGTGAACATATATAGGTAGTTCTCTCCCCAATGTAGTACGGCACCCTTATGAAGAGGACCCTAAAAGGGACCCTAATTAATTTAGAGAACTACCCATATGTATCGGCCTCGTCAGGGCCTGTTGAGATTGTTCTGGTTTCGTTCTGGGGGTTTCCGAAAATGGGGGACCCCAATATAGCACCCTAAATGGTAGGATCCTTATTATAAGGACCCCAAAATAAGGTACCCTAATTTTTCGGAAAGTCCCTTCTGAACCTCCTGGATACCGCAGGAGTGGAGACTGTTCCTCGGTGGCTGGCTATTCCTCGTTGCTGTCTTCTCCGGGACCCAAGTGTTCGAATCCTGGCATCTGGGTGCCGACTTGGTTGGGCAGGACCTTGCGCAAGACCCGTTTTGATATTTATGAAATCGTTTTGACGGCTTCAGCAGCTTGTGGATTCTTGGGCCCCGTCACCACACTGTTCCAGCACATTCAACGATGGCATTGGGCTGTTAATTAAGCGCTGTGATCGTTTGCTTCCCTGTCCGATGTTGCAGAGACGAAGCAAAGCCCCGGGGTGCAGGTGGGATCCTGCGAAGACTTCCTGGAACGAGATGGCCGTTTTGATGTCGGGTCACCTTGGGAATCCGTTCCAATCAAGTCGTGTCGTTCTGAGAGTCAGAGAGGGAAGAACACGTCTACAATACGGAGGTCATAGGCCCGAAGAGGCTCCCAGCAAAAAGGGGCCTTCAAATCTTCATCTACGTCTTTGCGGTCTTTTTCCAAACGAAGTGTTGTCGGTTCCGTGGCTTGTGAAGACGATATGACGAATACCTGGGGCATTTGGACCACGCGGCGCGAGAGAGACCTTAAGCCTATGCCTTCGGTCGCAGTTTGAGGTCCTCTCCCAAGTCCCACCTTGGGCAAAGCCCTTTCTTCCAAACTTGCACACCCTTCCGCAGCATTTGGCAGGACTCCCTCCAGAAAGAGCTTTCCTATGTCGTCGCTGCCTTGTCGGCTTTGAGCCTGTGCATATCCAGCGGGGTGGTGACTCTGACGGCCTACATGTGCCCCGGCGATGTAGATCTGGCCAAGGTTCGTTTCGGGCTTGGCTTAGTCTTGCGCTGTGGCTTGTCAGTTCTTACATCTGTGGTTTCATAGTCCACGATTCGTCTTCCTCCCTTCAGCAGAACTGCTGCATGTGTGTTATCAGGGTAGGAATACCTGCTGACACCATCATTCTGCATCCATTGAGGCAGTCCCATGTACTGCTGGGCCTGCACAAGAGTCTGGACTGCTGGTGCTGCGACGCTTTGCCGAATACCTTGCCATGTGTGAGGCTTTTTCGTTTAAAACTCAGCACCTATTGCCATGCTGGGGCGTGGGCGCTTCAAGAGAATGAGTGCTTAAGTTGAATATGCCAATACCAGGATCCCTGAGACCTAGTTGTAAGAAACACTGCTGTAGGGCTTCGGCCTATGAGTCGAAGGCTTCGGACTTTTCATCTTCACGCACCCAAACCCTAAAACCCTAACTCCAGAAACAGTGACGCCCGGGGAGTGCATCCGGGTCATGAATTTGCAGTGAGTCTTGGGAAGCCGGCTCGTGAGCTCCAGAACAAGAAGGGTAGTTGTCTAAATTAGGGTCCCTTTTAGGATCCTTTTTATAAGGGTGCCGTACTATGTTGGTGACCGAAACAGGGACCCTCAGAGTATGGGCCCTGGAAGTCCCTGTGCCCCTGTATCATTCGTGTAAACTGCTCTCTAACGGCAGGTGAGATTCTGGCCAGCAGGCAAAAGCACCTGGTAAACAAATGTAGAAGCCTTCTCGCAATCAGAAGAGGCATTACATACGCCTTAATTAAAACCTACAAGACCGTAATGTAACCTTGCCAAAACAGCGCCTAAGAAATTGTTCAACCAGCCGAACCTTCTTCACCTCGACATCGAACCCCAGCTTGAAGAAGGTTTGAAACTTAAACCCTGTGTCTCGGAAGACAGCCAGCAGCCCTGCACCGCGGCTTACCCGCTGAAGACCTGCAAGCCTTCTGACGGTGGGCTTCCAGATTGCCGAAACCCTAAAGCCAAAAACCCACATCCTGAATTTCATATCCTGTGACAAAAAGTGTTGCCTAACGCCTAGAGCTTTGCCACATCACGAGGGCCCACTCCCGAATTCCAAACCCTAAACGCTGTATTGGTGGTTCTCTAAATTAGGGTCCCTGCCAGGGTCCTTAATAAGGGTGCCGCACTATATTTGGGACGTAAACAGGGACCCTAAGTTGCAACTACCCATATGTCGTCCAGGACATCGCCAACAATCCAGACTTCGAAGCCGGTGTGCAAAATTGGAATGCCATGCAGGCTCGGGGTTTAGGTTATAGGGTTTAGGGCTTTAGGGCCTTAGGGTTTAGGGGTTTCGGTCCTTCGGGGCATAGCCAGGGTTTAGGATGAGAGTGAAAGGGCGCATCGAATTTGTCAGCTTGCTGCTTCAGTCCAGAGAGACAGGCTAATTATGGGTAATGGCGCCTTAGGGTTCCCAGGTTTAGGGTTGATGGAGCCAAGGGATGTGGGGCTGGGTTGACGGTTCAGAAAGATGTGGTCAGAGGATGGGGTGCTCGCAGCCCGTAAGACTTTGTGAATGGGCAAAACGTGACGAAGACGGAGCGCATTTCAGATGATGCCAAGCGGCCTTCATCTTGTTCGCCGTCATGATTCTGAACATAGCAGAAGCACACAATGCGGAGATTATTCCATGGCCACGACAACAGGCGTGTTGACCCGAGGAAGCACAATCGCAGTTATCATCCTCCCAATCTTTAGCCTAGCAGGCCTGCAGCAGAATATCTTCTCCATGAGCAGTAGGAGCATCACCATAGAACCCCAAGCAAACCAAGTTAGGCATGATCCATATGGACTTTACCCCAATTTGCGGATTACTCGTATAGTTGGAGTCTTACCGTTTCCTGTTCCTGGCACGACACCACCAGCACCACCACAGGCAGCTGCATTATCCTCCTCCTCATCATCATCACTTTCAGCTCAGCCATCCCGGTATGTAGCATTTATCCTGCTAGCCCCAAGTAAACCGGCAAGCCGACATACGACACCTCTGATGCAACATTTTCTCCAGCATCACCGATCAGCATCACGGAGGCTCTCCTGAAGTGCGTCGGCCGTGAGTTGGCCAACAGCTTCCTGCTGCTGAATGCGCCTCGGCACGTACTGCTTTCCTAGCGCACAGAAAATTGTCAACAAATCAATTTGGATAAATGCTATAATAAACAAATGAACAAACAAATAAATACACAAATTCATAAATATGGGTATATATATATATATGTATTTATATTTATATCTAGAGATACACACACACACACTGTGTACATATACAGGCATTTGATTCTTGATTTGTTTACGTACTTTTCATGCAAGGAAAACCATAATTATGCAGTTCAGTGCTTCCGGTGGTATGTCTGAGTTGCGAGAGTGTGAACCGTAAAGCTAAAGCTGAGCCCGCAGCTTGCCGTGACGAGCTGCGCTTCGCTGTGGGATTTTGTTGCAGTAGACAGCCGTCTCAGAATGCAAAGTCTAGAATGCCTACACCTTCAAACACTGACAAACGAACAGGTTGATTTTAACTATGGGTCTTGAACTCCGTGGCTGACAGGGACCGGGCACCCTACCTCGACCCGCGACTAAGAGATCAGAAGACCCTTGGAGGTCACTAAGGACCTGATTGAATCGTAAAGCCCCAATGCTGGCCCCTATAAACGAAGAGCCTAAAGACCCTTCCATATGAATAGGCTGGTGATTCCAGAGGGCCCGCAGATTCATCTGTGGTTTATGGCTCAATTGAACCGTTTGGGATCGCTGGGTGCCCCAATGCCTGCACCCTTCACACGGCTGCAGGCGATGGCCGTCGTCGGCTTGGCGTGCTTCCTCACCAGTTGCGCGACGATTGCTGCTGGGCCAGATTCTCGCGGGGGATCTAGAACGCCTCGGTTAGGGTGCAAGACAGGTGTGGTTTAAGTTGAAACTGTCTAATTTTGTGCAGTCTGAGCCACGTGATAAGCTGCAGTCCTCCAAGAGTTGCAAGCAGAGCACTAGTCAGTTCTATTTGCTTCCCGCCCGCGCCCTAGAGGCCCGCTCTGCCTCTCCGGGTCACTGGACTAGAAAAGGCCCTCTCTAAGCACTGAGGCCCTGATACTAGCTTTCCTCGTATGTTGAACTTGTTGAACTTCAGATTGGGGGCCGTGGAGCCCGTAAATCAGGACGACTGCACCCTAAGTTGGGCTTTATGAGGTTAAGGGCTTAAGGCTTAAGGGTAAATTCGAAGCTAGGCGGAACTTGAGCTACCGAGAATCATCAAAATGGACAAAAGCCTGTGCCGGCCAAAAGCCGCCTCTCTCTTTATCTCTTAAGTTAACCATTTTTGCCACTTGCCTGGGCGAATGTTCCCTCAGACTTAAAACATGGACAGGCCAGGTTTCGGAACGAAAGAGCTTCATCCGGTGTCCACAGCATTGCTGTCTGTTAGAGGCATCTCACCCATCAGACGTCAAGCTACCCTGTGTCTTCGCTATCCCTACCTATATATAACTTACGGAGTGGAATACGCCCACGAGCATGAAGCTGTCTCATATAGCCACGTCCAGCGACTCTTCAACCTTTGGGAGGGTTAGCCCCTCGAATCGTCAAGGGCATGCAGCAATTCCGAACAGGCAAACCCCACGAGAACACTGCCCAAACGTTGTAAACCCTGAACCCTAACCTGTGGAAGGGCTAAGTGGATGGCTTTGAACCGTGTAAAGCAACAAGGTCATACACCAAATTGGAGTCCTGGAGTCGTCGAGGGCTAGCCCCCAAACATTGGCTCCTCCTCTGTCTCCTCCTGTGACTCCGATTTTTTTTCTGCATCCGCCTTTTCAGTCGAACTTTCCCTGCAATGCGCGCTCGTCCTGGCTAAGTAGGAGGGGAAGAAAACCTAAGCTAAACTGTACCCTGCAATGCGGGTCTCGTACTCAAGCAAAGCAAAACCCTAAGATTCTTCGTGCCTCTCGAGGTGCTCAGCGATGAAAGCAGCCGCCTAGCACTGCTCGCCGAGGGTCTTCCCTCGCTTCCTTTGCTCTTCATTTTCCTGTTTCTTGGCAGATCCTGAGCTCGGAATTCGGATGTTGCCCCCCAGTGTACATAATTATGTGCACATATCTTTCTATAGTGGTATATATACACACATATATATATATAGATATACACATACACGCTTGTTATCATATATACCATAAGGAATCGTTCAACCGTTCCTGCGGCATTTCGAAGTACTTGATTAGCCATGCCGGCGAGGAGGCTTCCAGCCACACAGAGGAAGAATGTGCATGATAGTACGCATGCCCTTTGCCTGAAATGCTGAACCTCGTGGCTACGCCCATTGAGCTTTTTGCCAGGAGGCTGAAAACTAAACTTTCTAAGCCTGAACGCCTACGCCTGATACAACCCGGCCCAAATAAAGCACCCAGAAGCTCAAGCTAAACTTGAGAAAACGCAGAGTCTACGGAACCTTCTTACCTCGCCCACAGCCCCGGGCTAGTGACCCCAGTCTAGAGGCCTTCAGAACCGAGTGGAAAACCCTAAACTCTAAACCTCACCGCCGAGGTTGAGCATGCGAGTTTTTGCACATGCCGCAGCCCTCACAGCTGCCCTTCTTGGAAATCTCAGTGCAAGCGTAGGTAGGGGCTTGACTGTTTCCGGGATCCCAATGTCCGAAAAGTTCCTCAGACCATAGAGCCCGAACTTCTAGAACTCAAAGCTGGTGCTTCGGTAATCTGCGACTTCAGCTGTTAGGTGTTCACATGGTCACGGCCATAGAACGGGCTCAAGAAAGGGTTCAGCAACAAAAAGGAGAAGGGATTCAGGGGTTCTGGAGTGCTCCCTTCATCTCCCTCTTGAGCCAGATGTTGGATAGGTTACAGCGGCATATTCCAAGCGGAGGCAAACAGGAGCGAGATGTGTTGATTTGTTCTACTGGCAACAAGTCGCAGGCTTTACCTGTTACTCGACGATCCCCGGACCCCAGCCCTCAGCACCCTCGACCAAGCTGAACGCCGCAGCCCCTGGATGTGACACATCTTCCGCAAAACCTAGCCTAACCTAAATACCGAAACCAGAATTCTAGACACGGAACCTTGGACGCCTGCTTCGTTGGCAGAATTGCATAATTGACCCATGCTGGCCGTGATATTTTCGAGTAAACACTCTCGCTACATCCGTACTTGGTTCAAGCACAAGAAAGTTTGACCAGCAAGCTTTTTCCGTCCAAAGTACTCCGTTTGCTTGGTGTTTGAATCTTCCGCTCAACCTTTGACCCCAGCTCAAAACGTGGCGTGCAGAAGGTCGATACACTCACCTGCCTCATGTGAGGTATCCCAGTTGCAGTTGAAACCGCACACCCGAAAGCCCAAAAGTAGAACATGCGCACAAACACACAACTATGTTCTACATATCCTTGGTTACAGGCCCCTGCTAATTAGAAGGTTCTTGGGTTCTCATTTTATTTGCATTTCGAGAACATCCCTTGCTGAAGGGATTCTGGAGTCTCCAACGCCGGAGGGACAACCCAAAAGCCCAGGAGAAGTGCCGATCGATACCAGCCTTCGTGAATCAAATACCGACTCCAAATTGCATCTTTGCGGCAATTAGTAGTCAGGCTCAGTGTGACTTAATTGTTACGTAGGTTTAATCGGGTTTACGGGATTCAGGGTCCATAAGTCCATGATTTTAACGATACTAAGGCTTAGGGTTTAGGGTTTATAGGGTTTGCGGGTATGATGATTTCTGTGCTTGTGTTTGGGGCGACATGTTCCCTGGTTGTGCTTAATCCGTGGCGGGGATGCTGTTCAGCCGTTTTGAATTGAAAGGCTGCGATCCGAGCCGGCAGTATTTGGTGACCTACATCGCAGACAGTGCCGCTGGCTTCTCCGTGTTGAACATGAAGGCCATGCACAGACATATATATATACATACATACATATATATATATATCTATATATATATATATCTATCTATATATATATATACACACACATATATATAAGATGAACATTTTTGGTTTTTGTTTGTCACAGAATAGGTGGGTACAGCGAAATTGGCTTGGGCTTTCAGGACGGAGCAATTGGGACGAGCCTGCCAAAATGTAGCGGCATGGAAATGGAAGCCTTGAGTTCAGGAGAGCGTTCTTGAGCAGCCCCAGACCGGACGATTTGACTTGAGCTCTACCCATAGGCTCCACAGTAGTTCCTCTTTGTGGGTCTATATGTAGAATCCTATGCGGTAATCCCAAAAAGGAACTACTCAGGGACCTATGGGTACATTGCATTCTGGTCTGGGACACGCCCCACAAGGAACAGCTTAAACTCCACAGTTCCTCGTTTGTTCCCTCGGTCCTGACGTTTCGAAACTCGAAGCCCTTTTCCCGAAACCCCAAGCCCCATTGCCTGAGCTGGAGGTGACCGCAGAGATGCCTCGCGGCTGTTAACTGCTCACCTTTTTTAAATTGCGGGGGATCTTGATTTCGGACTTCTTTTCGGGGTCTTTCGAAAAGGACTCGATTGTTCAGGGTTCTGTATCAGGGTCTCTCGTTTTGTCTTTCCTGCTTGTAGGAGTTGCTGCTGTCCTGCTTTTCTCGCGCAGTTCTTTACGAGTCAAGGCTTGAAATGACAATGTGCTGCCTTAGCAACATAAGCTTTGGACCATGAAGCCGACACCCTGACACCGAAACACTGAATCCTAAAGCCTAAGACTGTGCTCTCGACCAAGGCTGGTGAGGCAGGCATCATTCCTTTCTAGCATCGTTTCCTGTTTGGTTGGGGTGTTGTCCACCACCTTCCTGTGAATCGTGAAGCCAGTAGGTACTGGAGTTTAAAGTTTAAGGCTAGTAACTATGTAGATTAGTTAACGGTTAGTTATGTAGGTTAGTCTTTGGCGAAGTGCATGAGTTTCAGGCTCTTGGACAGGTAGGAGAAGGTTATGGCCTTGGCAGGCATTGCAGGAAGTTTATCGCCCAAGCGTTTAAGAGGTAACAAGCACGCGGCAACTTACAATGTGTAAGTATGGCCGGACATCCCGAATTCGTGTGGTTCGTCGCAAGTCATGCTGCAGCAAGCGCGAAGCGAGACGAATCTAAGTGCGAGTCTCCAGGGATTACCCAGACAGATCCATGTCATACGGTTGATGATATGAGTCCTGCATTACCCGTAAGAAGGAAGTATACCATAATTCCCATAAGTTCGGGTCCTTATGGTAATGCACTAGCTACGCGCCGCTCGGATCGCGACCCAGAAGCCCTCGCCGCCGGCGAGTGGTGAAATCGAGCTTTCCGCCTCCAGATAGGTTGCGGAAGATGCTTTCCCGAGTAGGCCACGACCGGACTGTTTTGGGTTGTTCAATGTTCAACTTATGCTAAATAATTCCCTGATTCGGTTGCCCTCAATAAAACAATTCCTGAATTATGGAAAGGCCCACGCATGTTGGCTTAGAGGTTGGGGTCTGCGGTAGAAATCGAGCTCCCAGTTGCACCTGTAGCCCATCGCAGCCAAGCAAGAAGCATCAGCATGCAGCCCGGCATGGTGGCGGATGTTTTTTTCAGGGCATACCCCTCCTCGTGACAGCATCCCTCGGCCTCCATGTGCAGACCCAGCCAACCTGCTGACCTTTCGCAAAGTCGACCTACCGGTTCTCAGCTGGGGCTTAGGGCTTAGGGTACCTCTGCTTCGCAATTCAATTTGCATGCGGTGTGATGCGACGGCTCTGCGGCGAACGGTCTTGTAACATTCGATTTTTGAATGTACCCAGAAACAAACATACAAAGAAATACGTAAAGCTGTCTATATACCTATAGAACTGAGCATGTACATGACACATTACATGTGTATATATATATATGCACGCACACACACAGAGGTCCATGTACGAATCATTTACACAGAGGCGGTAGAGATGGGACAGTTGATGCTACCACTCCAGACCTTTCGCACTCGTGGTGCTGCGGCATAGATCAAGTTCTCTCCCTCTCAGATGCCCAGATCCTCTCCCAAGGCCACCACAGATTGCCGATTGGAATGTGAAGTGCAGACTACTACTACGGTTGATGATATAAATCCTGCATCACCCATGATAAGGAATATACCGTATACCATAAGTCTCGTAGTTTAGAGCCTTATTATGGTAACGCAGGATTTATATCATCAACCGTAACACTCGTCTAGGAAGATCCCTTTGCCGCAGCTGGCTGGAGTTTTTGGAGGCACCAGATGCCCTGTACCGGCAACCATTGCGGACAGGTGGCGATCGAAGGTATTGCGGGGCGGTTATGTGGGAAGCCATCTCGGTCAGGTTATGTGTGTTGTCTAGCTATTCTAGTTTGGTTTATGCCTGCTCGAGTTTGGTCAAAGTCCATTCCCACCCTTTTCCTCGCAGCCTTTGACAAGCAGGGAACAGGGCTTCGCCAACGGAGCACTCTCAAGCTACTGCATTGGAGAGCGCAGCCTTCCTTCAAGGAATGGAAAGGCTTGTAACTGAGACTGGTATAGCAACAGTGTCCGCCTCGTGAATTTCGAAAGTTTTTGGCGTCCATTCTTCTAGACTTTGCCGACTGGCGAGGCCGAAATGCACGAGCAGAATTCACCTTATGTGGGATTGTGCGGCTGTTTTGTTGCAACCAGCGCCGCATCTAAGGGTTGTTCAACCGCCTTGGCATACTGCAGTTTGAGGTGTAAGGTTTGAGAGCTTACAAACTAGTAGTATAGATGTTTGAAAGTAATGAAGCGAGCGTGCACATGGCATCAACGAGCAACCCACATAGCAGCACTGTGCGTGACGCAGGGCTGGCCAAAACGGTTTAACTTTCGGGTTTGGGACTTGCAGGGATTAGGCCTTTTGACGGGAGGGCTGGATTTCATGATGATCTGCATTCTGTCACGCTCCAGATCCCGATCCTCAACACCGCCCTAACCCTCGTGTCGTGGCAAACCCTCGGCCCACAAGTCTCTGTGACTGCTTTTGAGCCCACGGCCCCCAGAAGTTTCACAGTGACGCAGGACGAAGATGATGAGCTCTACAGTGACGAGCTGAGGACTGCGACGGGATGTCAAACTGTTCGTTTTCTTCATCATTCGGGTTTCTCCTCTTGAGGGGGTCTCCGTTTATAAAGATTATCTTATTCTTGTTGTTGTTGCGGTTGCTGCTGGGCAATTGGTGGTAGTTGAAGATTGCGGCTGGTTTTGCAAAGTAATAGCACCAGAAGGCGACGAGAACTTAATGCGTGGAAACTCTTTGAATCCAACAGTGCGGAAGGTTTTTGCAAACATCGTCACCGCATCGGAAGGAATATCCCTAAACCTTAATTAGGTCCTTAGGTACTGCAGCCCCTCAATCCTAAACTCCAAAACTCTAAGAATCTCCAGTGCCAGCTCAAACTCTCCGGCTGAAAGGCCCGGCGATGCCAAGGGCAAGCGGGCCGCCAGCAGCAGCCCAAGCCGAGTTGTTGCTGCCGGGTCACCGCTTGGGGTGTTTAATAGGCTTGGGCTTGGGGTGTAGGGTTGACGTCCTGCGCATGCTGCCAGGACTGTTGGCTTGCCCCAAAATCCCGCAACTGCGTCTCCCGGGTTTAGGATTCAAGTAGGAACTCGGGGGTCTTTGGATCATTGAAAAAAGCCTTCTTAGATACAGGCCTATACAGCTGGGTAGACGAACTGCAACACAAATAACAACATCCCCTTGCCAGCCCCCATAACCTCATACGATCACACAAAACCCCCAAACATCTCACAACCCTATCCTAGGTATTCCGACACCTGTATCGGATGATCTGAATCACAGTTAACCAGACTTAACCATCAATTTAAGACCTCCGCTTCGGTATTGCGACCTGAGAAACCCTCGAGGATGCACGCCAGGAGCAACACTTCTTTACCTAGTGACGACCCATAGGCCCCTAAGTAGTTCCTTTTTATGGTTTATATATAGAAAGCCTACACGGTAATCCCAAAAAGGAACTATATAGGGGCCTATGGGGAAAAATTGCTTTGCGGTACTGATTCTTGCAAAGAGGTTTCGATGCATCCGAGGTTCTGCCATCGTGTGAAGGAGCCCGGGACACGTGCGTTTTAGCACTGGAGCTTCTCGGCTGTCCGGGAATGACGCACCCATATATACCTATATCTATATATATATATATCTCTCTCTCTCTCTCTCTCTCTCTCTCTCTCTCTCGCTCTTAAAACAGTTGGATAGAAGCGCCTCAGCGCGCTTGACGGTGCAGCCCACTCAGAGTCCAGCGGCGTAGTCACTGTCACAGCAATTGATGGACAAGAGTATAGACCGCGAGTGGCCGATTCTTATGACAAACCCAATGTTGTTTACGAATTCCCTACGCAATATTTCTATATATATATATATACATACATACATACATACACATATTTTTTAATAGCGCCCGGGAAAGCAGTATTTGAAAAGAGAGGCTCCAAAGAGGAACCTAAGGTCCTCCACCCGGAAGGGGGAAACAGCAATCCGATCTGATGGATGGCAGGGCTAGGGCCGGCTTCGTCTATTTAGTGCTAAAATACCGGGGTTAGGGTTTAGGGGTTTATAGGGTTTATAGGGTTTATAGGGTTTAGGGGTTTAGGGGTTTAGGGTTTAGGGGGCAGTTGCTAGAAAGGCCGTTGCGGGCGGCTCAGAGAGACAGGATGTTCGAGACAAGGCACTGACATGAAGCAGGCCTTCTTCGAGCAAGGCTGCATGCCCCCCAGGTTTGGAAGCCCCGGAGCACTGCAACTACTCGTACTTAAGCTTGCAGCCTCGGCAGCGCATGGCTCTGGAGTGTTTAGAGTTTAGAGTGACGGACTCAAATCGCACTCTGGTGAGGACCTTGTATTTTCCTGGCGCTTAGGAACCCGCTGGCACAGCCTATCCATTCAAACAAGTCCATGGAGACTT